GGACAAGGGGCGGACCAACCACAGTGCCTTCCTCTTCGGCTTCGGGGATGGAGGTGGTGGCCCCACCCAGCCTATGGTGGACCGTTTGAAGCGGCTCTGCAATACAGATGGGCTGCCCAGGTCAGCTGGACCGTCAGCAGCTCAGCTCGAGCTCAGCTTCCTGGCAGTTCTTGCCTTGAGCCCTACCTCCTGCTCATATATTAGACCCAACCCTTCCTTTGGACCTGACCCCATCTAAACCTGGACCATTGGCTCCTCCAAACTTCCACCCCGGGGCTTGGTGTTCTCAGAAGCTCTCCAGCTGGGGAGCCCTTGACAGGGGCAGCTCCTCTCTGTGGGGCTGGGTTTCTTGTCTTTGCTAGCATAGCGGGAAGGTGGCCTATGTGGCCCCCAGGACTGGGAGACCCAGACCCATGACTTCCCTTCAGGGTACAGCTATCTTCTCCAGAGCGACTCTTCTCGGAGCTGGAGAGCAACTCAGGGCACCTGTGCACATGGGTCGGGGAGCTCTTCTTGGAGCTGCACAATGGCACCTACACCACCCAGGCCCAGGTCAGGGGCTGGATTCCAAGCCAACAGGATGGGAGTGCCCTGAGTCTTTAGGAAGTCAGAGCAGGAGGTGGGGACAAAAGAGGTGGAGATGGAGCCAGCCCAGACCCAGGGGGAGAAGCCTGTGTTCATGGGGCTGGAGGAGTGTGGAGGAAAGATGTGCAGGCGTCGGGTCGGGTAGGGAAGCTGCTTAGAGGAGACTGGACTGAGAGGGCAGTGGGGAGGACCCTTGGGGTGGGTCACCCACAGAAACTTTATCTAGGAAGCTCTGGGAATCCATCAAGGGTTCTGAACGAGGGAGGACTTGGGGAAACTTGAGGGGACTCCAGCCTAGTCACTCTACCCTGGGCCCAGATCAAGAAGGGGAATCGGGAGTGTGAGCGGATACTGCATGACGTGGAGCTGCTCAGCAGCCTGGCCCTGGCCCGCAGCACCCACTTCCTGTACCCAGCAGTCCAGCTGCAGTACCTTTGGAGGTCAGCTCAACTCTGCCCCTGCTGTCCACCTGACCTCTCTTCAGACACCTCTGTAGCCCCCTCCCACCATCATTTCTCTTGCCTTCACTCCCGTCTGTCCCATTCCCAAGACCTCCCTCATCTCTGCGTGTGGCCCTTGCAGGCTCCTACTCCTAAACCAGTTCCATGATGTGTTACCTGGAAGCTGCATCCAGCTGGTGGTGGACGATGCCATGAGCCACTACAAAGGTGAGGCTCACGTCAGGCCTCTCTGCACACCCAGGGCTAACCCCAGTGTCCCCTATGGAAAAGTCAGGGGTCATCCCAGACCCATGGCTGCCACCCATGACCAGTCAGTCTCTCCTTAGACATCCGTTCCCATGGCAATGCACTGCTCAGTGCTGCAGTCGCAGCCCTGTGTGTCGGGGAGCCAGGTCCCGAAGGCCTCCTCATTGTCAACACACTGCCCTGGAAACGCACAGAAGTGCTGGCCCTCCCCAAGCCCGGTGGGGCCCACATGCTAGGTATGAGCTGAGGGGAAGGCTGCTACTTCAGCAGGAAGGCTCAAGGCCGGACCTGGAGGGTGGAGGGTGCCGCAGCATCTGTACCCTGCCTGCCCTCCCTGAGCAAGGTTCCCCGGAGGTCTGGGAGGCTGCCCTAACGCTGTTGCTTTATCTTCAGCGCTGGTGACAGTACCCAGTATGGGCTATGCTCCTGCTCCCAGCCCCACTTCCCAGCAGCCCCTGCTATCCCAGCAGCCTGTGTTTGTAATGCAGGAGGTGAGTCCTGGCAGAGCCCAGTGGACTAGGAGGCTGTCTTGGAATGCTACCCAATGACATGGGGCTTTGGGGTCCAACAGCCTGTAGGGATGGCAGGGAGGGGTTGGGGTCAGGGTACCAGTTGGAGAGACCCCTACAGACTCAGTCTCAAGGCCTTGTACCACCAAGAGTGATGGTTCGGTGACTCTGGACAACGGCATCATCCGTGTGAGACTGGACCTGACTGGCCGCCTGACGTCCCTGCTCCTGGTAGCCTGTGGCAGGTACCAATCCCTCCTTGCCCTCTCCCAGTGCCTGGCAGCTGCATCCCAGACCCTACTCCCTGACCCTGGCTACAACAGTGCCCACAGCAATCCACTAGTAGTCCACTCTGGCCTGGGACCTGCCCCACCCTCCTCAAGCAGCAAAGAAGATCCAAGTCATCTGCAGGTAAAAACACAATCCTCATTTCCTTCCAGGGAGGCCATTGCTGAGGGTGCCGTGGGGAATCAGTTTGTGCTGTTTGATGATGTGCCCCTGTATTGGGATGCGTGGGACGTCATGGACTACCACCTAGAAACACGGTGCGGGGTGGGCAGGACTTGGGGGTGGAGTAGAAGGAAACGCAGGCCTATCAGGCCACTTCCAGGACCCCTTACAGCCTGCCCTGCCTCAGCACCTCTCACCCCTGCCACACAGAAAGCCAGTGCTGGGCCAGCCGGGGACCCTGGCAGTGGGCACTGAGGGTGGCCTTCGGGGCAGCGCCTGGTTCCTGCTGCAGCTCAGCCCCAACAGCAGACTCAGCCAGGAGGTGGTGCTGGACGTTGGATGCCCCTATGTCCGCTTCCACACCGAGGTAGTAGGGAGGACGGGTGTGGGCTCCTCAGGTGCAGCTGATGGGGAGGTGGCTGGCAGCAGGCTTGTGTGTCTGTCCCTTCATTTTCACCACCCTCCACCTTGCCTGCAGGTTCACTGGCAGGAGTCCCACAAGTTCCTGAAGGTGGAGTTCCCTGCCCGTGTTCGGAGCCCCCAGGCCACCTATGAGATCCAGTTTGGGCACCTGCAGCGGCCTACCCACTACAACACCTCTTGGGACTGGGCTCGCTTTGAGGTTTTAACATTGGTGGGGAGGATGGGGAAAGACTAGTGGGGTGAGAAGGAGGATGGTCAACATTTGCTAGTTCCAACATTTATCTAACACCTGGTGTGACACTGTAGGATAAGCACCAGACTGCTAACTATAAAGTTAGCCATTCAAACCCATCAGCTGCTCCTTGGAAATATATACAGGGTTGCTGTGAGTCAGAACCGATTTGACAGTATTTAATAACATCACCATGTGTGCCAGGCACTGGTGGGTGAGTACTATTAATCCCCATTCCACAGATGAAGAAACTGAGACCTAGAGATTGAGTGACATACCCATAGGCTGTGGTTCCAGAACTTGTTCTCAGCCCAGTGAGAGGCACTCGGGAAACTGGGAGCACAAGAAGGGGCATGGACCACCACATGGGTCTTGGGTCTGCCTCCAGGTGTGGTCCCACCGCTGGATGGATCTATCAGAGTCCGGCTTTGGACTGGCCCTGCTGAACGACTGCAAGTATGGTGCCTCTGTGCGTGGCAACGTCCTCAGCCTCTCTCTGTGAGTGGGGAGCCCGGCAGTTGGCGCAGGGACTGCTCTTCCCAAAGCAGAACTCCAGCCATTCCAACTTATCCTTCCCCACCCCAGCTTGAGAGCACCTAAGGCCCCGGATGCCACTGCTGATATGGGACGTCACGAGTTCACCTACGCGCTGATGCCACATAAAGGTTTGTGCTGAGGCCGTGGGGCCCTGCTAGGGACCTTGGAATCCCCTGAATAGTCACACCTCGCTGTTCCCACTTTCTGCTCCGCACCCCAGGCTCCTTTCAGGATGCTGGCGTCATCCGTGCTGCCTACAACCTCAACTTTCCCCTGCTGGCGCTGCCGGCCCCGGGCCCAGCGCCTGCAGCCGCCTGGAGTGCCTTCTCCCTGTCCACACCCGCGGTGGTGTTAGAGACTGTCAAGCAGGCAAGGGGGCGGGGCGGGGGCGGGGCGGGGCGAGGCGAGTCTGCCGCTGCCCCGCCCAGGCCCCGCCCATCATCCACCTCCTTCCCCAGGCCGAGGCTGGCCCCCTAAGTCGCACGCTTGTCCTGAGGCTGTACGAGGCCCATGGCAGCCACGTGGACTGCTGGCTGTACACATCGCTGCCGATTCAGGAGGCCGTCCTGTGAGTGGAGGTGCCCAATAGGGGTGGGAGTTTGAGCCGGACCCTTTGAGAGGTCCTCATGGCTCCTCCTGTTCTCCAGTTGCGACCTCTTGGAGAAGCATGACCCAGCTGGCCACCTGCCCCTGCGTGACAACCGTCTAAAGCTCACCTTTACACCCTTCCAAGTGCAGTCCCTGATGCTCGTGCTGCAGCCGCCCTCGGACTGAGCCCCTGGGGTGGGATTTTTTTCATAGAATTTGGAAGCTCCTCATTTTTGCCCCCCCCCCCAAGCCGGAGCCCCCCTCTGACCCAATGTACAATAAATCCGAGGGATTGTGAGCACTGCTGGCAGCCCCTTCGCCCTTCAGGGCTCGTCCTCAAGCTTTGAGCAAGGAGGGGGTTTCTCCTGCCATTTGAGGGCATGAGCAAGGTTAAAGTTTACCTATAAGGATAGGTTCAGGATTGCAGCCTCCAGGAGAGGTTGGGGCTGTCTGGTGACCACAGGTTAAGAGACCTTAAAATACACAGCTTCTTACCTGCTTCAGTAAGTACAGAAGGCCTGGGGGAGAACTGGAAGCCCAGTGGGTGGGTTCTGGCTGCCCCCAGTAGGTGAGGGTCACTGTCAGGACTAGGTGTAGGGGCAGCACTGGCCCTGAGGAATCCAGGACCCGGAGGCGCTGTGGAACCTGGACTAGGGCGCTCAGGACCTGCCCCTGTATGAACCAGGGCCATCAGGACTGGGATGGGGCTCAGTTTGTCCTGTTGAGGACAGTGGCCTCCCATCTTCAGGGCTGGGCGAAAGGCCCTCCCAACAAGGCCCTCCCAGACCTGCAGCCAGCCCAAGAAGTTTCTAGAAGTTTCAACACTCATCAGTTTATTTTTAAAATGGCGTTTTCCACATGGACTTTAAAAATGAGGATGGTAAGGGGTATACTTAAAAACATTATAGACCCCACTCAGATCCAGGGCAAGGCCACAGAAGGGTGGACACAAGCTAGGGGACCCTCCTGCTAAGAAGCTGAGGTCTCCTCTGGCTCTAAAGATGAGTTGTCAGTTCTGGTCTTCTGGGGTCTGCGGCGGCCTGGGGAGAGGCCAGAAGTAGGGTAGCTAACTCAAAGGCACCCAGGCTGAGGATGGCCCTGCTGCCTCCCACCCTCTCCTGAAGAGCCAGTTTCTAGGAGACCCTCCCTTTCCTTCCCAGAGGAGGATGCAAAGGAAAGCCACCTGAGGTTGCTGGTCGCTGCCTCCTCTTGCCTTTCTTAGGGACTGAGGGGGTATCAGGGTCCTGAGCTGCAGGCTGCTTGGGAAGGTCCCTCTGTGCTCTTTGTGCCCTGGAAGGGGTCTTGCTTGGAGGTGGAGGGTCCTAGGTGGAGGAGACAGAGGTCCCCAAGGGGCTCAGAGTTCAGAGGTTGGTGAGGGCCTACCTCCCACTTTATCAGAGCCAGGCAGCTTCTCAAAACCATGGACACAGGGATACAACCAGGGCAAGAGAGCCTGAGGGAGGAGGGAGGATGCAACACACCCGCTTCCTGGCCTCAGGGCCTGCCTGTGTGCCCTTGGATTTCTTCTTCTGGGCTTTGCCACCTGTGGAACAGTGACATGGGGTAGGGGTGGTGGGTGGCTTTGCTTCCACAATTTTTCTCCAGACCCCACCAGTGGGGGTCGGAGTGGGGATGGGGTGGGGTGGAGTGCTGTGGCCCTTGCAGGCACAAAGTCTGTTTTGCTCTTAGCCTTTGATATTAATAGACATAACTTACCTTTGGGTACGAGGGGTCCAGGATCCCCCTAAAGTGAAATGGGGAGAATTCAGGAGACAACCGGGGCTAAGGCTGGGCCAGTGTTTCTTGGAGAGAGGTCTTGTACCTATCTCCCAGGTCAGTACAGGCCCTCCCCTGGAGGCCCTCTGGTCCCTCTTAGTCAGTCAGTGCTGACTTTAATAAGCTCATCCTGAGGTCTGTACCATCAGCTGGAACTCACAGGAGCAGAGGAGCCATAACATGAAGGAGATCTAGACCCCCAGGAACGCAGGGACCCCAGCCCTTGCTCCGCCTGTGACCCACCACATTTACTGGGGGCTCGATCTGCCTGTGTAAGGAGAGCCCCCCACACCTGGAACCAGATGGTACGGCCATGCCGGTCCCGAAGGGAGTTCATGCCTGGAATGCCATAGCACCGCAGCCAGGCTTGAAAGGCAGCGAAATCTTCCTCCCCAAGCTCCGGCCCGTAGCCTTTGCCCCCTGTGAGACAGAGGAAGCAGGTCGAGGCCAGGGAACAGACTTGGGCCAGATCACAGCTGTACCCTGAGGGACTGAAGCAGGAGCCATGGCTGCCCCTTCCCCAGTGGTGACTTCAGGCCGGTGTTTTCCCCACTCTGGGTTGTGGTTTCCCATCTTTGCCCTGCCTGCCCACCTCATAAGCAACTTGGAAGAGAACCACATGCCTGAGGAGTAAGGAGGTTGAATTCCACTTAGTCACAACTAAGACTAAAACCCCCCACTTCCTAGGTGGACAGCTGGGCCTAGAGAGGGGTAGCCACTGCCCACCTACAGAGTCACTCAGTAAGCCAGGGTAAAGGGAGTTATCCACCTTTGTCCTGCCAGAGTCTTACCCAGTTGGACCACTTCTTTGGGCACCGAGTGGCATAGCTCCAGCAGGTCAGGGTTCTGCAGCTTGGCCTTGATCTTCTTGCTCAGGGTCAGCTCTGGACTCTGAAGAAGAGGTAGGACCAGGCTGTCAGCTTGTGCAGAGCAGCAAATGTCTCTGAGGTCACAGGCACTCACGCACACAGAAGGGGTAACAGGCCCAACGCCAAGAAAGAGCCTGCCTGAAGTCAGAGGTGGTCCATGGCAGAGCCAAGCTGGAGATAGATGATGTGGCCCATAGGCTGGCAGCCCCATTCTGACCTGCATGGTCCGGTACATTTGCTCAGTGTTCGGACCTCCCTGTACCCACCGGCTTGTACTGCTGCAGGGCCTCCAGTACTGTGCGGGCCTTCTCAAACGGGGGGATCCTCAGCCTGGAGTGGAGTTGGAGAGGGGGCCATGCTGAGCAGAGGACACATGGGTATGTTCTAATCCCAAGTCATTGCTGGTGCCCACAGCCTGCCCCACTGACCGATGCAGGATCTCAGCCCGAAGATAGTTGCCGATGCCATTGAAGAACCTCTGGTCCAGGAGGGCCTCACAGATGGGCCGGTCAAAGGCCTTGTCAGCTAGGTTCCGCAGCACATTCTCCCTGAAGGGACACGGCCCAGGTGTAGGACCCCCCCTTGCCCCCCCTTCTGGCTTGTTCCACTTCTCTGTGTCTGTACCAGTAGAAGGAACTGAGCCCCAATGTCAGGAATTCACAGATATATCCAAGGGCAGGTGGTATGATGACAATTAGGATGGAGGGAATGGGGAGGGTCAGCTTCTGCTTACAATGGGAGGGAAACTGAGGGTCCCAGTCACCCTTCTCCCAGCCTTAGTGCTGTTTTGGCAACTAGAACCCCCATTGTCTTACCTATCAAGTGGGAACAACATGGGATTTTGATTAATCAGGAAAGGTGACAATACCATTCAAAAGCAGTATCTTCAAAGGAATCCTAAGTCTATATTTTGTGTGTGTCCCCAGAATGCTTCAGACTTCTTAGGACACTTGAAGACAGGTGACTGCAGGACTTCAGGTGTGCCCACAACCTGGATGTCCCTAAGACCCCTGGTGGATCTGTGGGCACTGGTGGAGTCAACTCTCCTTAAACTTTTGCAGACTGTTTTCCAGGAGGCTGGGTGTGTGCTGCATGTCCTGGCTAGCGAGCACCCCAGAAGCCTAACAGACACCTCCAAGTGTCATGTGTCTCTTGCTGGCCCTAAGTAAACCTCATTTCTTTGTGAAGAATGGTTGGACATTAGAGTATGAAGGGGACCAGGAGACAGTTTGTGGCAAACTTCCCCTGAGGGAAGTGGATCCCCGTGGGCTTCAAGCTGTAGCACCCAGAACACCTGCTCCCATCTAATCCAAAGTCTCCATAGGAGAAACTTCAGAGCCAGCTGGCAAAGAGTTAACTTGACATGACTCCCAGGAAAACCCGCACCAAGGACAGAGGTTCCCAGAGCCTGCACTTAGGGTTCATGCCTTGTAAGGTCAGGAGGCAACCAGACATGTCCTAGCCCATCCTGATGGGGAGCTGAGCTTCTGGGCTCAGCTGGTAGGACATACTGAGGAAGAAAGAACTGGCCAGTCCACCTCTAGGCATTTGCAATTTGCAACTCTTGTCAGCTTGAATGCTCTTTCTCTCCAGCTTTACACAGCTAGCTTCTCATGAGTCAGGCCTAAGTTCAAATGTCCCACCTATTGGAGTTTTCTTCAGACTTGGGTGTGTTTGTACTCACCTCACTTGTTCCCTTGTCCCCCTCACCCCACCATGTAAACATTAGATCCAGGCGCAGGGACCAGTCCCAAGTTCATTGCTATGCCCCCAGCACTCAGCGCAGAGCCCAGCCAGCAGCAGAGCCTCTTCTCTGGTGGAGAGGAAGTGGCTGAGGCTGAGCCATCTTCTGTGACTGCATCTCAGGTGGAGCCACGCAGCCGTGGAGCACAGGCCAGTAGGCAGGTGGAATATGGGAGACCACAAAACCTGATTCGGAGACTCTCATTAAGCAGCCCCCTCTTACCCCCCCTTGAAACCATCCCTCCTGCTCAGCTTGACATCTTAGCATGTTGTAAGTCCTTCCATCTTTCCTTCTACTTTCTTTCTAGCAGCCTGGGAACACCAAGAAGCATTGTGGGGTTCTAGGTCCAAGCCCCAGCTCAGAGACTCCCTAGCCATGTGTCCCCAGGGCTGTGCCTGCCCATTCTCTAGGCTCCCAGCCTTGTAGCCTTGTAGTGCTTGTGGGTTTACACCTGTGTTAGCTCAGGCGCGGGGACTGAGGGCCAGATGGGGCTGGGAGTCGCCCCTGGTTGTCCAACGAGGCACTGACAGAGCCAGACCTGGAGCCGAGCCCTACCTGAATTGTTCATACTCCAGCAAGACACACGGTCCACGGCCTGGCTGCCACTCGCCTCCAAGGTCCCAGTGGCCAAAGCGGCGAATGTCCACAAAGCAGAGGGCAAGTCGGGAGCCAGGTGGAGCGGTGTAGAAGCGCAGATGAGCATGGGGTGGCAGGACATCTGCAGGCACCAGCTGGAAAGAGCCAGTCATGCCGAAGCGGAAGACAAGGGCCAATGGCTCCTGTGGGGGCTGGGCCCCAGGCAGGGGGCTCAGGATCAGTCGCAGCTCCTTGCCTCGAGCTGTGGCTGAGATGCTGTACGCACTGCTCTCAAAGGGCACCTCAGGGTTTCGACTGACAGATGACTTCTCCACACACCCGCCAAACACCAGCCCGCTGCATGCCTCATTCACAAAGATGCTGGCCAGATGTAGCTCAGGGCCCTCGGGCATCCTGTGGCCGGGTAGCTGGGTCCTGTGAAAAAGTACAGAGCAGGCTGGGCTAGGATTGTGTCTCCCCCCCGCAAACCTCCAAGAGATAGAAACGCAGCCGCTGGTCCCCATAGGGAGTGCTGAGGAAGCCCAGGCTGGGGAAAGAAGCATGACTCTTAACAGAAGCTCACAGCGTTTTAGAATCAAGTCCAACTCCTTCCCAAGCCCTCCTCCAGCAGCTCTTGTCCTGCCAGCACTGGCCCCTGGACACCCTGCTCTTCCTCCCTTCTGCGCCTCAGGCCAGATCACTTCCCTCAGCTATGAAAATTCACCAGAGTGGCCTTCCTGACCACCTATCCAAGAGAACCCCTACACACCCCACCCCTAGACACTTTGTTTCTTGGGGGCACTCAGTGTCAGATTACCCAGAAAGGAAAACACGGGCTTATTTGTGCTTGCTTAATTATTAATCTGTAGTAAACAAGTTCACATATTTCTCACTATAACCCATGTAAAATTGTTCCATAACAGATTAGTAAGTAAGCACAAGTATGCCCATGCTTACCGTGTGGGTACTCCGCCCTGCCAGGCCTTTACCACAATCTGAAATTGGCTGGCTTTGTATTGCCTAGGTAAGCGCTGCTTGCCCCTGACGCCCACCGCTTAAAATACTGTCTGTGGACTAGGAACCGGAGAAACGCGCCCAGCCGGGCAGCGACCACCACCCTCCGGCGGGAGCGAGGGCAAAGAGGATGGAATGCCGGTGTCTCCAGAAACTTCTGCGTCCAGCCACGTTCACACAGCGTGGAGTCAGGCAAGGCTACAAGCTCAGAGTCAAGGTCTAGGCTGGAATCGATAACACCTACCTTAGCTGCCCCCCTCCCCCCTTGCTCTTTCCCACCCGACAGGAAGGACAGCCGGCCACTCTTCTCTTCCTCCAGGGCACGGGATCGAAGGCAGTGTGAATGGGGTGCAGGAGACGCTTTACGGTCCAGTCCCCCAACTCAGCTGTGCCCGGGGCCTGGCACCCAAAAGGTCTAGTTTTCCGAGAATAGGTGAACTTCTAGATTCCTAGTTTTTGCAAGGATTGGGCGCTCTAAGAGAGCCTCATCCCCTCCAGCTCCCGCTGCGACCCTATCCACAATTCATTCTGGCCCTTTTCTCCGGTAAATCGCCTCCTCGTCCCAGATCAGCTGCACAAATCCCCATCCTAGGACACTACCTTCCAGTACCCGTGCTCGGTGCCTCATCCGACCAATCTGCAACCACTAAGGGGTTAACGCTAGGGGCGGAACCGGGTCTAAGAGCATGCTGGGGGCTGTGGTCGCCTCCCAGCGCCTGCTGGGAAGTGTAGTCCTGCAGGGAGGTGGCTGAAGTGAAGGCTGTTTGGGTTGGGGTCTCCGGCACGTAGCGAAGACTTTGGGGCAATCACCTGCCTGGGAGGTGGCAGAGGAGTCTGTCTTCCCGCTTCCCGGCCCGGACAGGGTGTCGGTCAGTCCAACGCCCCAGGTTGCAGCTGTCTCTGAAGCTGGGGGTAGTCACCGGCTAGTGAGTTCCAATGGACACCCTCAGCAGGAAACAGCATCATCGTCCCAACGCTGAGGTGCCTGCAGCTGGACGCGCTCAGGTGGCGATAAACATGGGCCCTGGGGACCTGGTGGTGACCCTAAATATTACCGCAATCAGATGGCACATAAACATTACCATCGTCTGTCAAGTGAGAAGTTTTGTCAAACAACAAAAACCAGGGACCGAAGAGAACCGACTCCAGATGGTGTCGTGGGGGAGGGTCTCTCTGCCGTGATATTTAGGCCAGAACTCGAAAAAGTGGAGGAAGAAGCAACATCCGCGCACAGGCCTGGAGACCAGAAAAAGATTGAGTGGCTGAAGACCAGTGTGGCTGGAGGGTAACATGGGGACAGAGGAGCCAGCAGGGTTCAGGTCGCCGCTCAGACGGGCCTCCACGCCGCCGCTGTAAGGAATTGGCACCTTATTCTGAGTGTGATGGACCTTGTAGCAGGCACTGGCTCATCCCATAAACATGATCTGCCCTCTTCCCTACTCCTTCTCCCACCCACCCCATCTATTATTCAGTTGTTTTGATAGAAGTATTTTGAAATAAAAAAATGAGGACACTTCATTCCCAAATACTTTAGTGTGCTTCTCTAAGACACAATTTCCTACACACCCACAATACCTTTATTGTATCTAGTAAAGTTAGCAATTTTTAAAACCTTTTTATTGTGAATTGAGTGAAGGTTTACAGAGCAGCTCATCGATCCAACACCCAACAGATCATATACTTCATGTCATTACAATTATTGCAACTCCTTCCATGTACCATCAGTATAAGTATTTGCCTCTGTTCATGTTAACTCTTGCTCGTCTCCCCATGGCTTTCCACTACATTCACCTTCCCTGTATGCCAACCTCCCTCTTGATGTATATTGCCTAGTAAACATATGTCTACTCTCTAACCAGTGAGGAATTAGTACAGTGGCAGCAGAATGGACTCAAGTGCAAAACAATTGAGAATGGCGCAGGACCGGGCAGTGTTTTGTTTTGTTGTGCAGAGGGGTCGCTATGAGTCGGAACCGACTTGACAGCACCTAACAACATCATATACCAAGGGAGTCGATATTTCTATTTCCAACTTTTTGAGACAGTGTCATGCCGTTTTCTATAGTAGTTGCACCATTTTGTAGTCCTACCACCAGTGTAAGAGGGTCCCAGTATCTCCACATCCTCACCAGTGTTTGTTTTCTGTTTTTCTAAACTTTGCTATTATTGCTGGGATAAGATGATCTAATAACTTGGAAACACTATACAGGGTCGCTATGGGTCGGAACCAACTCGATGGCACTTAACAACAATGACTAACAATTGCGAGCGTTTCTTCATGTTTGTTGGCCACCTGAATGTCTTCTTTGGGGCAGTGTCTGGTCTTGACCTGTGCCCATTTTTAAATTGGATTGTTTGTCATCTTGTTGAGGTGTTGAAGTGTTCTAAAATTTTTTCTGATATGTCATCGCCAAAAATTTTTTCCCAGACTGTTCTCTTTTCACTCTTTTGGTAAAATAATTTGATGCACATGTTGTTGTTAAGTACCGTAGAGTCGCTTCCGACTCAGTGACCCTGTACAGAGTTTCCGAGGCTGTAAATCTTTTCGGGAGCAGAAAGCCTCATCTTTCTCCTGCAGAGCGGCTGGTAGTTTCCAACTGCTGACCTTGAGGTTAGCAGCCCAATTCGTAACCACTATGCTACCAGAGCTCCATATGTCTAATTTTTAGGAGGTCCAGTCATCTATTGTGTCTTCTGTTTATGTGGTTTCAGATGTTTGATGGTGTATTTTTGCCATGTGTCAGAGACTCTAAATTTGTCCCATCAGTTTTTCACTGATGATCTCTTTAGTTCTAGGCTTTACAGTTAGGTCTTTAATCTACAGAGTTTATTTTTATATATGGTGTGAGATGTGGGTCTTGTTTTATTCTTCTGCAAATGGATTTCCAGTTTTGCTAGCACCATTTGTTGAGACTATCTCTTTGCCATTTAATGTATTTCAGTTCTTTGTCAAAGATCCACTGACCATAGGTGGATGGATTTACTTCTGGGTTCTCAATTCTGCTCCATTGATCTTTGTGTCTTTTGAGTACTAGCACCAAGTTGTGTAGTAGGTTTTGAGATGGGGAATCGAAAGGCCTCTTTTTTCTTTTTTTTAATAATGCTTTTCTTATCCAGGGTCTATTTCCTTTCTATACAAAGTTAGTGATTTGGAACCTGGATTGGGATTGCATTTTATCTATAGATGCTTTGGGTTGTTGTTGTTGTTAAGTGCCGTCGAGTCGGTTCCGACCCATAGCGACCCTGTATAGGGTTTTCAAGGGTGTAAATCTTTACGGGAGTAGAAAGCCTCATCTTTCTCCCGCGGAGCGGCTGGTAGTTTCGAACTGCTGACCTTAAAGGTTCGCAGCCCGATTCGTAACCACTACGCTACCAGAGCTCCTTATAGATGCTTTGGGTAGTGTTGACATTTTTATAATGTTAAGTCTTCTTATCCACAAGCATAGTATAGTCCCCCACTTCTGCCAGTCTCTTTTGGTTTCTTGTACTAGTGTTTTATAGTTTTCTTTGTATAAGTCTCCTGTTTCTCTGGTGAGAATTTTTCCCAAGTATTTCTACTGGGTGGCTATTGTAAATGGTATTGTTTTCTTGATATCCTTTTCAAAGCTCTCTTTATTAGTATAAAGGAACCCAACTGATTTTTTGTTTGTTGGTCTTGTACCCTACCACTTTGTAGAATCTATGGATGAATTCCAATCATTTTCTTGTTGAGTCTTTTGGTTTTTTCTATATAGGATCATATCATCTTCAAATAGAATTTTACTTCTTCTTTACCATTTGGATGCCTTTAGTTTCCCTTTCTTGTCTTAATAGCTCTGTCCAGTCCGTATCATGTCTTTGGGAGGCTAGGCGCACTCCTACGGGTTCATTGTGACCAGGGCAGACCATGGGCCCTGCAGAAATGTGTGTTGATTATGTGGGGGGGGTGGGGAGGGTGGATCCTAACACAGACTGTCTCTTGCCCCCTCTCCACCAATAGTGTAGTACTTATTTACAGAATCATGTCTTCTCACGAGTGAGAAGCTAGTAGGTCAGCATCAGCGCCTCACCCTGCTGGAACCTTCCAGTCTCTACACTGGGCTTTCTGCACCTAACAATAGACACAAGACGCTTTGAAGAATAAAAATCAGCTGAAAGTCGGACGTCCTTATGGGTTGGGGGTGAGCTCATCGTGGCTCTCTGGCCCCTCTCGTGGTGAGTGGGCCATGTTACAGCTAGGTGACCTTCTTGAGCTCGTAGACTAGAAGCCTGAAAGCCCTCCCTGGACGCGCAGCATGGTGGACCAGGCGCCCAGGAAGAAGCCCTTGCCACTCTCTTCCTTAGATCTTCTGCCAGCAATCCAAGGTCCTGGTGCACACGATGTTGGCGACTTTGTGTCCCAACTGCGTCTTCACAAGGTG